ACATAAACCCAGTATTTTCTACCAGAGTGAGTCAGAAGGTTTTAAATATTAAAATGAAAACCATCAAAATACATGGCAACTTAAAGAAAATGATAGACGTTAAATAGCATTTCACTTGTGTGGTGTGGTTGGTAACGTTCACATGAGTCTCCTGCAGCTTTTTGCACAGTAACAAATATCTTTCTGCAAATTTTACAAACTTTCACAAGAACAACTGCTGGACGTTAAGTTATTGATTGGAAATCAAGAGCATTTCACACTACAATTAGTACTATTCTGCTTTTACAACTTTTTATCAAAAGAACTCAGCTTCTCCATGAGCTTACAACAGCTGTTAGCTTGTCAAGCAGTGCCCTCTGGTGGATGCAGATGATTCTACCAACCTGTTTCTTATTCCTTCGTTGACCAGAGTTGATCCTCTGAACCCTTGAACTGCCACTGGTGTTGTTTTTGGACTTTGCTATGTGTAAAAGAGAGAAAAAAGCTTATAAACAAAGTCTAAACACACAGTCTAGTTAACAATCAACATGCTCTGATGGTCTCTTATCAAAACACTTTTGGAGTTGATTTGACTGAAATGTATCAAACGTGCAACAGTAAAGAGATGCACAAGACAAAATGTATTCAGTTATGCCATATCTTTATAAACCAAACATACATATGGAATAAACTGAACTGTGGCAGTTAAAAGATTTCTGAAGAGAGAGAGGGAGAGCCAGAGCAAAAATGAGAAGGCCCTGATGGGGATTTCTGAGTAGGTTGTCCAGAGAGAAACTTTCAATACCACATTGTCAAGCAGATAATAATTATGCACAAAATGCTGGATGGATTAACACAAAACTTGGTGGAGGAATGTGGTATGGGTCAGAGAAGAACCAATACAATTTTGGTGCAGACATTTTCACTGATCTCCAAGAAAGAATTCAAGGATCTTAATGAAGAAAAAAAAAATCAGGCACATAAAGAAGATAGATATCTATGAGTGTTCGAAATGTGGCGCAGCTTGATTGAATTAAAGGTCCAGTGTGTAAGATTTAGGTGAAAGGGATCTATTGGCAGAAATCTAATGTAAAATAACCCTTGTGATGTTTTCACGAGTGTGCTGCATGTAAATCTTTTGAATTGTGGTTTTCTTTACCCTAGAATCTGTCCTTCATGTTGAAAAACTTTATATTTACATCGAAGGGGGTCCTCTCTATGGAGGCTGCCATGTTTTTCACAGTCGTTCAAACTGGACAAACTAAAAACCTTTAGAGTTTTTATGAAAACTGAAGCTACCACAGGTTCTATGTCATGCAACATGCAACTTCACCACTACATGTCACTAAATTCTACACACTGTACCATTAAAAGGGACTGGTGGGCCTTGGCTGAGGTATGTTCTCTATTTAGTGCCATTCTAGTTTTCTAAATATTCAAAGATGATATAACAAGGATGATCACAAACAAGCCTATTTTGTGAATTGGGTGTAAACTTTGATCATTGTGTTCCAGCAGGTACTGTGTTGCATCTAGCAGCTCAGTCTGTGAGAAGGATCAAACACTGTGGTCACTGTAAGGCAGTTGATAAATTATTCCACCGCAAACATCTTCCACTGAGCCAAAGAAACACCTAAAATAAACATCGCCAGAAACACCCAGTTTGACAAATGAAAACATTACACTCAATTTCCTCCTGTGATTATTATATGAATCTTTAACATATGGCAATAAAGAAAGAAAGCTAAATAATAATATATTGGCTGTGGACACGGAGTTTGTTTTGCGTGCAGCCACCGACCTTCCTCCTCTTTGTTCTCCACGGGAACACTCCAGGCAATGAGATTTCGAGCAGCACGGCCCTCTTCTGCAACTATCTTCCGCACTTTGTCATGGCTGTTGGAGCGCTGGAAAGATGCCTGCAGGGGAGACAGAAGACATCAGACCACAATTAGATGTGCAACTGATCGATTAGATGAAGTGACTTCCAACGTGATATGATCTGTGGCCAAAAACAAGGCTAATATCACATTAGGGAATTTTGCATGGTATGTTGCAAGAAAAACACAAGTGACTTCTGTGGAATAATGGATATGAAGCTGAGATGACCCATGTTGTCCACCATGTTCACCACATATTGTGTCACATTATGGGGCTTAAGGCAGAAATGAGGCCACTTAAATACATCATCACATTAGTTGAATAACCTGATTTGTGGTCAGTTTGAATGAGTTTTGTCAAATTTTTTTTTTATTTTTATTGTCAACAAATCCTATGAAGACACCAAAACAAGTATTTCCTGAATAGGAAAAGCCTGATATACTATAACCCACCATGATGTCACCCATTGGTTTGTGAACTGCTGTTTTGAAGCCTCAACTTTGGGCTTTTTATCCATCTTTTTTTTTTTTAACCAGAACTAACCATATTTGGAGGACAGAGCCTGACTCAGTTTTTCAATTACTTAAAATAAGTACTAATTGCGACTAGAAAAAGAAAATGTAAATTCATAAAAATCTAAACTTGGTTACATTATTCCACAAGAGAGCATTCAGATATGTTGTTTCAAATATTAGTCCAACCCTGGTATGAGGGTGTGAGCAAGGGTTGATGCCACAGCAGAGCACACATTAAACATACTGTGTAAAAATTGACAAGAAACAGTCACAGGCAGAAGCTCTTAACCCGCTTTGTTCCCAGAATGCATCATGGTTGACCTACACATTGAATATGCATCAATGAGCTCGACTTTAACCTCGGGTGCAGCAGACACTGTGGACCAAAATAAATGCTGCAGATGTCATTCTTCACAGCTTTTACTGATGTAAAATGAAGATGAAACATGGCATCAACATGTATCCTGTATCCCCATCACACAGAGAAACATAAGTTACTGTAAATCTCAACAATCATAATAACAACTGCATTTTACAAAGCAATCGCAAAACACTTCACAATTCACAATGTACCCTGTGCCGTCCCCTGTATCATTTGCCTTTGTAATCTCACATCACTACAGTTTGACTCCTGGCAATTTGGTTACACAACAATACAGAAGCTAATAACTAGACGCTCATCATTGTGGATCCTCTTCCAGCAGAATGGCCTGCACTGCTTCTCTATAGTGTTCATGAATGATTTAAATTTAAGGGTGACGGAAATCCAGACCAAAACACTGCTATTTCAGTAAGACGTGGTTTCAGATTTAAAATACATCACTACCTCTGACTGACACAAAAAAAATCGAGAGCTAGCTCTCCTCTATAGTGAATGAGTCATGGAACAAACCGTTCTCTTCGTCCATGGCTGTCTCTCACAAGCAACACTATTCAGGCAAAAAAGCATATCCCTGCATGATCCCTGCATTTGAATGCACAGTATGAGGGATACAGTTCTTCTCTAAAGCTTTGAGAAAACAAGTGAGAATTACTCCTTTGTTTATGTATGTAATGTTTTAGACTGTACTTCAAGGGTATTAGAATAATGTGAACATGGCTCATTAGGCATAACACGTGTAGAAACAGCATGCGTGTATTGGTCAGATACTATTTAATGTCCCTAAGGGAGATATCCAGCTGACCTACTTTTGCCGAGCAAAATTCTTAACATGTCGAGTGGCCTGTGCTTTATTATGCCGAGTAGAACCAGGCTACAAAGAGATACAAAGAACATCAAACAGCACAGGTTCTGCTGATAATGAGAAAGAACTAGCGAGGTGGGTCAGCATCAATGCCCCATCATGCATATACACGGTAGATATTTACTCTATGTTTCCTGAGCTTGACAGCCCCTTGGAGGAGTGTTGTGAAAATACCCTTCTCACAACTGATGGCTGTCTGAGAGTGGCAGCCAGAGGGGGAAAAGGGGCTTAAAGCAACACTCTCTTGATCCACTTAATCAGCTGCAAACAAGCTGTCTCCTGGTCTGCACAGTGGAATAATAAGATAGACAGTGAAGCCCAGCTCCTGCTTTATTCCCTGGCCAGGCAGTCCTACTTCCACATGCACTAGAGAGGGTGCTTATTTTATAGACTGTGCTGAGTAAGGGGCGAGTGTAAGGTTTCCCTTTGGCATGGTCTACAAACAGTTGCAAGTAGCAAGACAGAGGGTGATCTCTAGCTCATTAGGAAAGACACAGAGGAAAAATTAAAAGATTAGAGGGTACATACAGAGTAGAAGTACAGCCTGTGAGTAGGTTCCTCGTCCTTGTCCACCCCTGACATACTTTTGCAGCCCACTTCAGGCAACCTGTTCCCCCTCACCAGCAGTGCCACTTGTGCAAGGTGACATCGTCATCTGACGGCTGGACCAAAATAGACTCCTACTGTGTAGTCCAAACTGCTATAGCAACTTGCCCAGCTGTGTCAACTCCTCTCCCAGTAGCGACTGAAAGGGACAAGTGCCCGGCGGCCCAGGCCACTTCTTAGGCCCACCTCACTGCCTGCTGCTGCTGCTGTCTGTCTGCCTTGCACCCTCTTCTGCAGCTTCCTATATTTAAAGCATCTCTGCACTGCTCCCCCTGCTCTGCATCCGAGCCGCCAGTCTCACTCTGTTTCTCATCTCTCGCTCTCTCTCCACCACAACACTGCGCAGTCATGTGCACACAGCAGGCCTGCCGCTTGGCCCCCCCAATGATGCCAGTGATGAGAGTATAGCTGCAGGCACAGTAAGTGTGTGTGTGTGTGTGTGTGTGTGTGTGTGTGTGTGTCACTGAGTGATGCTCTGGATCTGATTGGTCTGGATGCACTTGATGATTCATGGGCTGCTGGGGCGACAAAACAAAACACATGGTCTGACTGTGTGTGCAAATGGAAACACACACTGCAAACTTGCTAGCCACTGGCACAATAAGAACACACAGGATACCTCGTCATCTGTCATCTGATGCAGACTTCAGTCTCCTGTGAGCCTACACACCACTCCCCCTAAAGTCACAACCACGCTTTAATGATGACATGACGAACACATTTATACACACAAAGACTTCACAGATCACTTGAGCCCAATCACACATCTCACAAGGTCATTTATCATCCTCAGCACTGAGGGAGGGAGAAACATCTCAGGAACCCAGGAGGCCATCAGAACTGACAACACCACACCTCCAGAGGGTAAGGTGACCTAAAAACGCTCCTTCACTAGCAGAGCAGCTAGCTAGGCGAACCCCTCCTCAACGGTCCAGACACTTAGCTCAAGCTTGCTAGCAGAGTATCTTTGTTGTGAGGTTTCCAGCTCTCTAACGACCCGTGTCTCACCTTCAACGCGGATGTGGGTGTATTCTTGCTTTTGCCTCCTCCATGCGAGGAGCCGGGGCTGTTGCTGCCAGACCTCTCCCTCCCGTCCCCGCCTTGGCTAACCCTGGGGCCGAGGCGGTGCTGCCCGGCGCCGCGCCGTCGACCGTCATGGCGGTTGTCTTTGGACATCGACCCGCGGTGCGTTTTGAATGCTCAGGCGGCGATAAAGGAAAGTCTCCGGTTAAAGTTGATGGACATTCATGCCAGACGGCTAGGACAACCTAACCAGGAAGTCTTTTCAGTTGTAGTTCTGACTGGCGTTGGGCCCATCCAATGAATTCACAGTGACACGGAAGCAACACGCGCACCAGCCAATCAGATACAGAATAACGGGTGGGAAAGATTCTCACTGGGCGGAACTTCAGACGGTCTACCATGGCAACCATGATGATTGGGCGGGACGTTTGTTTGTAAAGTCAACTACACAGACCAAACAGTGAGCCAGCCTTCAAAATAAAAGCATTGTTGGGGAATAAAAACATTTCGAGTGAAGAGAATCAAGTTCACTACACCAGTATTCATACTGTTCACTAGTTGCGAGGGCCGATCATTACATGCTATGGCGTCATATCCTTACGCTAATTGTAACTGTGCACAGCTTATAGTAACAGTCTGTGGGATTTCTACTATTTATCCAGTGGACAATGACCCTGATGGGCTCCAAAACTCCCATGTTCATCCATCTCCTGTTGCAATTTGTAGTTACAGATAACTTAAGTTAAACTAGCACAGCACAATACAAAGAGATGTTTTCTTACCCCACATTGCCATAAATAGTGTGGACAAAATCATACAAACAACTGTAACATAAGACTTCAACAAATGACCATACATTTGAATCAGAATAACTGAAAGGGGTACAATTAAAATTGAACATTATAATCTTTTTTAAAAAGGTAGAAATTATTATATGGCTGTTGTTTTAGACGGCATCAGTTTGACTTTAATGTGTCTAATAAAATGCACCTTTTCTGCAGAATATCAACATCAGTGGATCCTGTATCAATAGCTAATAGGTCAGACCCCCAGACCTATTTTATGTATTATTTTCTGTTTATAATGTGGAGCATCATATTCCAGAAGTATTCAGATTTTGTAGTGGGATGTAGTATGTGTGTGTGTTTGTGTGTGTGCTTATAATAGCTTCATTCAGTAGTTTCCATTATAACATGACACTAATTTTGAAGTTTAAACCCGGAAGTGTTTAACTCCAGAATAAAAGAGAGTAAGTGATGTCATCATTTGTGTGGAGAACCTCCCGCGGTAATAACAACATCTTCTCACGTTAACACATTGACATCATCTTCAGCATCGTCTCAATAACTTCAGGAAATGCTTGTTTGTGATGTTTATAACTGTCTCTATTGATTAGACTAATGTTTCAGTTTTACCCTCAGATCTGCTGGAATGTCTCTGTCTTGTTCTCTCAATCGTTTTCAACCCAACCAGGAACTAAACACAACTAAAGCAGCGTCAGTTGTTTCTTGGACCAGTTTCTGTGAAGTCGTCCGGTTTCATTATAACTCAGCACGATCGAGACTCACACGTTAGGTTTAGTTTTTCTGAACTTTCACCAGCAGATGGCCACAGGGTCACTCTGTTGAGCTCTGGTCATTTTATGTTTCACCAGGGACGTTAACCCACTAAAAGCCTTTTGCTGTTTGTTGCATTCATTGTGTTGATCAGCAGATGGCGTCCTCTGCACTGCTGCTGTTGCTGTTTCTCCAGTTTGGACTTGGACAAACTCATAAGCATCTTCATGAGGATCATTATATTGGCCAGCAGCACAACCCTGAACACGACCTGAATGTCCTGCTGGGAGATGAGGTCATTGTTGATTTTTAATATATTTATTTTTTACACTCTTCAGTTTCATTCATCACCTGCTCACTCTGTGCTTCACTGATTTCCTCCACCTGTAGGACACGGAGGAGATCAAGAAACTTAGCCCTGTAGAACAGAGGAAAAAGATGATGGAAATTGTAAAGAAGATCGACACAAACGCCAACAATCTGCTGAGTGCAGGTACATTTATGTTTCATTCAATTTTAAGAAAGATAGTGAAGATGAATATATCGGTCAATATATACTAAAAACAATTTGCAAGGATTCCTAAAATGTTTTTATCAAACCCTTATGACAAATAAATGTAATTGAGGCTTGACAGTTTATGCACACATTTTATTAAAAAGAACTATAAATTAAAAGAAAGTGTAAATACAACCGAATGTATAGAACAGAAATAAAATTTAATAAAGAAAACAAACTATTTTTTACAAAAATACAATCTTTTGTGCATTGAATATTCTGTAAAATAAAAGTTTTTATTTGATTTATTCCTGTGTATTGTTCAGATACCAATATCACATCAGCTGATTATATTGATAGGGCTCTTTTAAACTTTATGCTCATCCTGCTCTGTGTTTTTTCTCCCACAGAGGAGATTACACTGTGGATTCAGCACGTCTACAGAAAATATGCTCTGGAAGACGCAGAGGAGCGATTCCCTGAGTTTGACACTGACAAAGATGGTGCCGTTACATGGGCGGAATACAACACGGTTGCTCACGACCAGCTCATCAGTTTTGACGACAGCACCGTGCTGGAGGATCCAGAGCAAGAGTCTCTCAGACACGTAAGGCTCACTTTTATCCTTCAGTAAATATTCATACTGGGCCACATCCTACACCATGTGAAATTAAAACAGGCTCATATCTCCTTTAGCTCCACCTGAAGGAGAGACGGCGCTTTGACTTTGCCGATGTGGACGGCAGACCCGGCCTTAATGTAACTGAGTTTCTTGCCTTCACACACCCGTCTGAAGTGGATCACATGGCTGTAAGACAAGTTTAACTTCCTTTTACGAGAGTTTCATATCTGTTTCATGTCACAGTTAGATAATTTAAACATTTTCTCCAATAGGATTTCGCCATTGAAGATGTGTTGAGTGAATATGACACAGATAAAGATGGATTCATCAATCTAAGTGAATTTATTGGAGATCTCCGTGGTGATGGTGAGGACACCAAGATTTTTTTAAGCATAGAATAATGTGTTACTCAATTTTTATCACCAATGCAGAGTTATCACTTTATATTATTCTTAATCAGAGGGTCCCCCTTCACAGTGGGAGATTGAGGAAACTGTGCGGTTTAAAGACCTCTACGATCAAGACAAGGACGGCAGGTTGAATCGAGAGGAGCAGCTCCGTTGGGTTGCGCCTAACAGCTACGGTTCGGCAAGAGAAGAGGTAAAGCCACATTTGATAAACCTAAACAGGTTAAAACTGGATTGAGCTTTAATACATATGATGTATTTGGAGGATCCCTATTATTCATCATCTGTGATATTAGGATAAAAGTTCCTCTTTGTTGTCAACAGGCTCTTCACCTCATCAAGGAAATGGACAGCGACGGAGACGGACAGATCTCACAGGCGGAAGTTTTGAAAAATCAAGAGACGTTCATGAACAGTGAAGTGACAGACTATGGCAGACAGCTGCATGTATCACATGATGAATTATAACTGCAGTTTCTAAGCTTGTTGTAGAGTTTTATCATTTGATTCCACGTAGATCTAGTTTTACGGTAACGTAAGTCATGCGATTCACTCTCTGGAGAGAGATGTCCACATCGGAGTGTGATCAGCGTGCAGAAGCAAATGACATTGACAAAATAACAGGAAACATTTATTGCAAAATGCCCAGAGTGGTTTTCAGAACCTCATATACATAGAGACTTCTCAAAATAGTGTGTGTTGCAGAGATGTTGTATTACACAGGACAGCTGTGGTTCTCAAGATTTTCATGTCATGACCCCCCAGTGTAATCAGTCTGCTGAAAGTGTATCTCTGCACTGTCGTCTGCTATGATTCTTTGCTTTACATTTTTGACTTCTCACTGTAAGAGTAAATTAGTCGTAAGGCACATGATGTGTAGTGTGATAAACAAATTTTTTCTCTTCAGCTGAGCGATCAGGCAGCTGTTGTGTGGCCAGAACACAACATCTGGCTGCTCACGGGGTCGTTCTTGAAAGTTTCTTTAAGTGCATAAAGCCAGTTTCCCAATTGTTAAGTTTGTTGAGTGAAGTAAAACATTTTTGTCCAAGCTCTAACTCCTGTGCACACAGACTTTGACTCTCACAAACACACTCAGTAACATCCATTCTAAAGCAGATCTTATTACTGGTTAAGGCAATTTGATATAAAAATCAATTCCCTGTCTAAAATATGCCATTTCATTTTGACGACCCCAGAAATGATTTTGCGACACCCATGGCCGTCGATACTTCAGATTGAGAATCACTGTCATACAGTAAAACCACTTCTTTAAATTCCACACATTTTTATGTTCAAACCAACACTTCTGTTAATTATCATGAAAGAAACTGGAGTTTGTTTGCTGTGTATTTGAAGAAGTGTCACCATGGATCATTTTTCCTTGTCCCTTTGAACAAAGTGAAATGACACGAGGATCAGCCTGACACGTTTCAGCTCTTCCTCATTTAAATCAAATGAGTTAGTAAGTGTGTGTGGCTGTTTTAAGGCTGGTTTCCTGAATGTGTCATGATCTGTTTCATTCTCATGAGCCGCAGCCGCAGCAGCAGCAGCAGCAGCAGCAGCCTGTTTCCCTGCTGAGTTTAGTAAAGTGACTTAAAGTTGAGTGGATTCTGAAGCAGGGACTGTTTTTACCCCACTGCCAAGATGACTTTACAATTTAAAGATGCCTTCTGGGTGAGTTTGTGTCATGCTATGAATACGCGCTCTTTTTGTTGTGTTTTTAAGTTGATTGTGAGTTTTGACTGAGGTGTAAAATGAGCTTTGTGTTCAGTATGTTTGGTAAAGTTTTTTTAAGTTTTCATTCTACTGTATCTATACCTTTTATTTGGTCTGGACAGTTTTCACTTAAGATGCTCCAGGTGGATTATATGTAACATCTGTAACTACCTTTTATTTCAGTGATGTGAGCAAAAACACTGCTTTTTATCTTTGCAGTCATTCTACAGTTTCAAAAACAGAAGCTAAGGATTTCTTTGTCTATGCAACTTTTTTTAATTGCGTATGAAGGTTTTCTATTCAGAACCCAGCAACATCCTGCCACAATTTCCATTGCAGATGAGACACCATAAATAGTCTCAATAAGTAACTTATTATAGCTAACATGGTGGCAAATGTTTGATCTTTATCATCACTTCAGATACAGATCAGTACAGGCCAATCTTTTCCTTTTAATGTGTTTGTGATGCACTGTTTCTGTACATAAACCCTATTAAATTGTGTGTGACAGTGCAGCACACCAAAACTCAAAGTGTCAATGTCACCTGTTACAGACACAGATCAAATTTAACACCGTAACCATGAAAAAAGAATCCAGAACTGGTTGCTAAGAATGAACAATCAGTCGAACTCTGCAGCTTCGGTTTACTGCATGGCACTGTGCTTCCTTTTCCTCTTTATTAACATCCTGTTATCAGTAATTCTGTGCAAAATGTCAATCACTCATATCATAGAAATATCAGCATCAATTTTATTTCCACATTAGTCAAAATACTTTTATTCAAGTTCACTTTTTTCGCTTGGTGGTTTTCTATTCAGACCACAGCAACCCCCTGCAATAATTTCCATTGTTAGTGAGATACCAAAAATAGTCTCAGTGAGTATTCAATGATATCTCGTCATATCGTCCTTTGGATCTATGCATAGGTCATGTGGGTCTATTTTAAGATATCAAACAATATGCAGCATCAAAACTTTCTTCCTAGTTGACATGAAACATTTTGCATTTACCAGATTGATTTTTGACTTTTACACCAAAATTGAACACTGTGCAAGCTTCTCTGAGATTGTTGTCTGGTATCTGTGTAACTACAGGGAGTGGACTTCATCAGCAATTGTGGGTATGAGACTATAATTCAGAGGCTTAATGATGGCCGACGGACGTGCAAAGACATGGAGGAGCTCTTGAAAATGAGGTGGGCTCAAACATTTGGGTAAATCGCACATGAATGCAGAGATTGGCCTCGATGACGTGTGGTTCACCTGTTTTGTGGTTGTGCAGGGCAACGGCAGAGGAGAAATATGGCAAGGAACTGATCACCATCGCCCGCAAGGCTGGAGGGTTAAATGAGATCTGGTAAGTGTGGGGGTGTAGGATTTGAACATCAATGCCCTCATCAGTATTTCTTCCTCTTCTACATTTCAGTACATGACATTTTAGTATATTAAGGCCCCCCTGTGTTCCTTTTGTTTTCACAGCACTTTGAGAATATCTTTCGATGAAATGAAGAAACGTGAGCACAGTTTTTGTTTCCTGTATCATTGTTTAACGGCGTCCATACACGAGTTATTTTTTTTCATTTATGTGTTTTGGTAATTTATTAGAAATTGAGAATATAGGAAACTTGCACATTCAGCTCTCTGGCCACCTGAAAGACGAGGTGAAGAGGATGGAGCAGTTCAGAGACCGACAGAAAGAACACAGGAAAAAGGTAAGCATGATTTTTCTCATTTGCATACACAGGAAATCTATAAAGAGAGATTTTTTTCTGATGATGACAATGACCTATTTTTTTTTTTTTGGAACGTATACATGATCCTTTAGTTCGAAATCATAATGGAGAAGGTCCAGAAAACTAAAGTCTCCCTCTACAAGAAAACAATAGAAGTAAGGTCAATTCATATTATCTTAATGTGCAAGAATTCTCTCTCTTTTCAGCCATTAAATGTTTATTATATAGTTACATTTTGAGGCTTATATTTTGTGTTGGAGGTATAATTTAAGTGATTAGAGAGGCATTGCTCTGTTGACGTGTGAGCGGAAGACGGTTTTGCAGATATGAAGAGTGAATATCCACATTAAGGACCCCGATACCATGCTTCTCTACTCAGAAGAAGGAAGTGAGCTCTTGGTTGCTGCAGTTTGTTTTCCTGCCATCCTCCACACCACCACTCCCCCACCCCCACCCCAAGGGTTCATAGAAGTGTGGATGAACAAAGCATGTGTGTTTTGGTTTCATATGGTTTCTATTCTGCTTCCCTCCCAGTCTAAAAAATGCTACGAGCAGCGCTGCAGAGAGGCAGATGAGGCAGAGCAGACGGCTGAGAAGATGGGCAACACTCCCACAGCGACACCCAAACAGATAGAGAAGGTAAATCTTTGCTGGGGTGTGTGTGCGTGTGTGTCATCCTTCCATTGTCATCTAGCGACTGTAACTTCACTCCTACATCTTGCTTCCAGCAGCAGAGAAACATTCGCTTTTATGCAGACGTATGTGAAAACAGCCTTATAGAGTCAACCTCTGCTCATAAAGCATTGTACACAGTGACAGCCAAACATCCCAGTGTAAATATAATAATATTTTAATATAATTAAAGTATTAATCAATTAATTAATTAATACATTTCACATCTCCCTACTTCTGTCTCAGTCTTTGCATTTTTCAGGCAAGCGCCACATTTATTATTTTTTATGATTGAAATGGTGAAGAATAGTTTTTATGTTCATGAGAGGAATAAGAAAATGTAGTAACTATATTGTTGACTATACAACTGTATGTGCTATTCATTCTTTTTGTACACAATTTAAATGTCCCTAACATTTGAAAACACTTCATTATCAATACTTGTTTTTAGCAAATGCTAACTTCAGATACAATTGTATTTTACACACTTAAATACCATTAAGTAGAACATACATATAGTTTTGCTGTTGTTGGTAAATGCGATTTCTGAAACCACACTGACAGTTGGTCCAGTTACTCCACAACACTTTGAGAAATTGTGAAATTCATTCATTTTTGACATTGATTTAATCATTTCTGTTGTGGGTTTTGCTATTTAATGGAATTTGCATCAATCATGTAACAAAATGAACTAAACAAACAAAAAAACATTGCAGTTTATTGGGAAAACTACAGGTTTATGTCATTTTATAATTTTCCTACTTTTTCAGATGAACAATAAATCTAAGCAGTGCAGAGAAGCTGCTGAGGAAGCTGGTAAGGACAAAATAATGAGATCTACTATGCCACCAAAAATATTTATCTGATCTGTTTTGTAGTACACTGCAATTCATTGTTTTTTAAAAATGGTCGCATTAATTTACATTTCATGGAGATAGATATGGGTTGAGATATAAACCGATATACTGTGGTTTTGGCATATGTAATAATAATAAATGTTATATGTACCTTCTCTTTTAAAAAATTGTTTTCTTTTTGTCTTTAGAGAAACAATACATGTCAAACATTGAACAGCTTGACAATATCCGTCAAGAATGGGAGTCAACACACATCAACACATGTGAGGTAAAGTACAGAGGTTCTGCTTTTCTCCTCCTATAGTATTTATCAGTTGAGGAATATACACTAGAGCTTAACACATCTTAAAATGTACAGACTTGAACCAAAAGTGGTAATACCCGAGTGCTGTTTTGTCAGTGATATTGTGTAATACTTCCTATTATCAGAACACGGTATGAGTCACTCATCTATATAAAATGTTTCTGGGCAACTGAGCCTCCCTCCTGCCACGCTGAGGAGGCAGCCATTCTACATTATTCAGCAATTTATGGTCGTTGAAACACACACACACTTCTATCTTTTTGAGGGCACTCATTGGCATAATGCATTCCCCCGCCCCTTAACCTGACCACCACAGATTAATTGCCAAACCCTGACCAAGAACTAATTCAAACCCTAACCCTTAAAGCAAGTTTTAACCCTCAAACAGTGAGGACAGGAAAATATCTCCTCATAGTTCCAAAATGTCCTCACTCAATTGTACTCAAAGATATAAGTTCACACACACATATGTACATTTCCTAAAGACTTACCCTAACCCACTTACAAACCTAAATTGAATCTAACTTAAACAAGTTTTAACCCTAACCAAATTTAATCATTTACTTGGGGACTTGCTTTTTGCTGCGGTTGTGCAGGTGTTTCAGCAGCAGGAAGAGGACCGCCTCAGCATACTGAGGAACGCTTTGTGGGTGCACTGCAACCACTTATCACTGCAGAGTGTGAAAGACGATGAGGTGGGTGCAGCCGTTGTTACGCATCTGTACCAGACGCTGCCTCATTAAGCCCTTCAAATACATTGCAAATAACGGAATCTCATTGAAACTGCTCCTCTAGTGTTACGAGGATGTGAGAAACACACTGGAAAAGTGTGACATCATTACAGACAACAACTGCTTTGTGGAGATGAATTACATTGGCTCGACGCCCTCGGGTAAGGCATACAACCTGCAGCCTTCCTGGTTTGGATTTGAATATATTCTAAGTTGGAAATTTGAATATTATCTCACAGCTAGAAAAAGATGTTGCATTTTGCATTAAAGCAAGTTTTTTTCCCCCCAGCTCCAGTTGAATACCAGAATTACTACGATAGGGACGCTACAACTGATAGAAACGGCAGTGCTGGATTTGTTGGAGTCATGAAAAGGTGACACAAGCAATGAATGACAATGAAGACAATTAATGAATTTACTGCATGATTTTTTTTTCTCCTACAAGTATTAATTTGTGAATCCTTTCAATATTATTTGTAGGTTTTCAAGTCTTTTGCAGGGAAATTGTTCAACGGGCTCCAAGCTGAGCATCAATGAGCCAGTTGCACAAGCTACTGGTAAAGTACAAAAGTTATTACACTGTAACACTTCGATCTCCTTTGAGATGACAGTGTGAAAAAGTGTGACAAGCACATCATCATTCTCAGCACAGGGTGTGAAGCAACTGTGAGATACATACTGCTATTATTCTTTACAGCAACAAGGGGTAACTGAAAAATTAAAGAGGAAATGCATTTAAAATGCATATACACGCACACTACCACAAACATTACCGACACAACAGGAGTTTGTAACTCACTATGCCACCAAAAGCCACAACAGACAATCACCAACCTGACGTGAAGGGAGGGAAGACTCTCAATCTCCCACAAACTAAAACACCTTTTGAGTTTTTATGACAATTAAAGGCTACCACAGTTTCTTTTACATGTTTGGAAGGAGAGGGTGAGGTGAGGGGTGTTCAGCTGCAACATGCAATTTCAACACTATATCACAAAATTCTACACACTGCACCTTTAAGTGGCTCCACACAATAGCTGAACTGATGCTTATTTCTCACAATAATCTCCACAGCAGAGACGTCAGAGGAAGTGTATGCTTCCATTCCTGGTCAAGTGTCTCAACTGAGCAGTGAAGAGTACACGGTCATATATGACTACGAAGCACAGGTCAGCATCTTCCCTCTGATGTCAAACTCTCTTCATGAGACACATACAGAAGTTCTGACACTTGTTCACTTAGAGAATAATCTTGAGTCATTGTTTCTCTGTTCAGGGGGATGACGAGCTTTCTGTTTCTACTGGGGATGTTGTGGTTGTTACGGATCAAGGTCAGGACGGTTGGTGGATGGTGCAAAGAAACAGCCTTGCTGGATTGGTTCCAGGCTCTTACCTCGCTAAAGAATGAGTTCACCTGACAGTCATATGTAAGACTTAATAACAACTACACTTCATCAGCTAAAAACGTCTAGTAAAAGTGCCACTCTTTAAAGTCACCTTATGGTTTAGGATTGTCTGACAGCAATTAACACAGACCTATGCAATCATAATCATTTAAAAGTGTGTACTGTCTCTAAGGTTGTAGAATGGAGAGTTATTTATTGCTGTGGCACATATTCATATAACTTTACATACCAATGCCAGTTGTGTTTACCGCTCCTCAAAATCCAGACAGCTGGTTGAAACTGATATGTAGCACTGCGTTATGTTCATTCAAATAGGGTCAATTGAGTTGTTTAAATTTTAAACCCTACCTTTTTGGCTGAATGTTGTATCTTGTATATAATTCCTATGTGTAATGTTGTTTCAAAAAGCTAAAAAGAACATTTGTTTATGCATGAGCATTTATTTTTATTATTTTTATTTGTCTTACTAATTCTGTTTTTAATTATTTTAGGCACCACCAACATTGTCATTTATTAAGTTATTATGTTAAGGCCTCTCATCACAATTTTTTTCTCTCTAATGGTCAAATTACTGTGGAGTACTATTCTTGAAGTGTACTATTGGACCAAACGACAACAGTCCGAAGGAGCTGAAATGCACTTGAGCACTATTCTATACTTGGCTGAGCAGTCTTCTTTCTCTGGTTCACAGGTGTCTGGTTACTGCGAGTAACTCGAGTTTTATCGAGTTACCAAAGCGAGCTCCTTTTACCACAATATTCTTCTCATATGAAGGCTCACAGTGTTTATTCAGTGGTCACAAAATGTTCGGTAAAAAGATATAATAAGGTCTTGTGAATCCAATTATATTTACACGTATATGTTACATAAATGTTTAGCCCATGGTAAACTTGAACCTTGTCTGCAGACCAGTTCTTTCAGAGGAACCAGCCAATGAATGGGTTTCGGTCATAATGGCTAAAAAATATATATATATATATATTATTGTAAAGTTGGGAAATCCTTAAGCCAGAAAACATTTCATTTCAAACTTTCACCTCACATTTTATTTACATTCTCAGGTCCTATATAATCAGCAAATCAAATCCTATAACTATCTCCAGTAGATTGTTGGAACAGAGACAAACAAAACAACTGAACAGGAAAAAATCTATCTCGTCTCCAGTATGAGTACTTTAAATATCCAAAAGGGATTACATGGTTTGATTCTTAAACGAAAGATCGGCTAATCCCACACCAGGTATGTTTAATGCTTTACCACTGACTCTGTGGAGTGATAGAATACTGCTGGTGAAGATAGAAGTCATAATTAGAACTTAAAGTAGTAGTATAAGAGGAGTAGTAGAAGCAGTAGTAATAGTAGTAGTGGAAGTACAGGGTGACATTTTACACTCTTTCATTCAAGTACATGACAAGTTTAAATACAAAATATTTCAAAGCCATACACAGTGCAAACTAATGTATGAAGAAATGACCCTGTTCATATCTTACTCCGTAGATGACTTTAAAGTTTGGTAAGAATGATGATTAACACCCTGATGCCATCGTCAGAAACAAAGATGTTTTCTGCATCTCATCGACCATTAGACTTTGGTCAAATGCTTTTTTTTGTTGTTGGAAAAAAATGGGCAAGGTATGGTGAGTAACTTTAGTGCGGTTAGTGTGGGGATGTTTTTTCATGCTCTCACTGAAGACATGTAAATTCTCAGAGAGTGTTATGGTATTGAATGTGTTCTCCTTTATGCATAGGTGCCCCCAGTGATTAGAAGCTCGTAAGCAGGATCTCTGCTCCTGCGGCATAGCACGACACATGTACACAGCATCCCCAGCATCTAGGAGAAAGAGACAACATGATTAGTGTTATAGCTTTGAAACGCTTCACTGTAGTTGTGCAACGATGGTGCGCTGCAAAATGCACATAGTGGAAAACTCTGAGGTAACAAAGTGAAAGTTAAAATACCTGGATGGCAGCAAATGTCAGGGCGGTCCAGATGATATACATCATGATCTCCTTCAGCTTTTTCACAACCAGAGCCTCACAGCCCTATACACACAGAATATGTTCAAACGTATGAAAGAATGAAGATATTCAGCTTTAAAAGGAAGTAGTCTTTAATATGAAAACTTGACTAATATAAAAAGAACCTTACTTCTTGGTAGAGATCTTCAGGATGAGTTAGGGACCCCGTGCAGCTTCCAATGTTGGCTTTGCAGCAACTGATGGGTACGCTGTTGTTTTTGGATTCTTCATACCAGTGTGTATACTGCCAGTCAGAGTAATTATGGATCCCACAGCACTGGAGCTGTTCAATTGTCAACAATTAAAACCATCAATTCTAAAAGCCACACAGGTAAAACCTTTATGTTGGTGGTGATAATGGAGAGGAGATTTCTGTCCTCACCTGTCTCTGCACATAGTCGATGGCACGGCTCTGAGCATTGCTATTGGTGCCATTGTACTCATCATACACTTTCTTGATTGTGCTATTGACTTCACTTTCAACCTGTCAATGGATTAGGGGGGTGAATCAACACATTTGTGACCACATCCTCCTTTAACATGATGGCAAACACAAGCAGATTAAATTAGGTCACCTATCTCTTAGCATTATTATCTAGTGTTGGCAGAAGAATCCATCAATGCCAAGAAAAACAAACTATCTCCTGATGTGTTTGTCTTCCTTACCTTTGCCCTGTAAATGTATCCTAGAACCACCACTGCCACTTCCGTCACGAAAACCAGCAGGAGAATAATCACAAACTAAGGATTGAAAGTGTAAGATTAAGTTTAACATAGATATTTACAAAGACAATACAGACGCTTGGGTAAACAAACACGCACTGCCAATTTGGCATGTACAAGTACCCTTCTTCATACTAAGTCCTACATTGTCCTTTTCAGTTTTGTGCTCAGTGAAACAACAAAGTGCTTATAGACCTTTTTCAAATTCATTCCCGAAGTGACACCTTGCATTTTCAAATGCTTAAAAGTTAATCTTTGATTAATCACTTCCACAAGATCCTCCTAAAATTGTGAACACTACTTTTTTCTACTAATTTAAAAACTGGTTTACTGACCGCTGTGAGTCCACAGTAGCTCTCTCTCACTGTCGCACAGCATCCAATGAGTCCTATTATGAAGAGGAGGGCTCCAACTGCAATGATGACCACAGCTGGGATGAAAGTATACACATCCTCAAAGAAATGATCGTAGTCGTCGTACGTAATGAAGACGTAGGCTCCAACATAGCACAGGATGCCAGCAGCGGCCTGATGGTGACAGAAACATCAGCATTTTATTCAAGCGTACCCACGAAGTAACACCTTCAAAAACGAAATGCATGCGGCTCCATACAGTTTATCATCTGTTAAATGCCTTGTGATAATGTATGATTTGATCTGGTCCTATATTACGCACTATAATATTGAACATAACTCTACAATAGTACAAACTTC